GTTCGACGAAAACTAGATATTTTAGTTATTTATTTGCAAACAATTTGTTATCATATATATATATATATATACATATATGTTTTTGGCATTTTATTGCAATCTAATATGTAAACTAACATGTTCGATTTTTAAAATTTTGGATTTGCAAAATTCGGTAAAATAATAGTAATATTTATTTCTCTTAAAAAAATATACACTGATTTTGCAAAAATTAATTGCTACTTGTTTACGTGCTATATTTTTCCCCTCGATTTACGACCGTACCGGTCATATATCAAATGTCTCGTCGCCTCAAGTGCCGGAGAATGAATCGCGGAGTATCGTAAGCGTCCTCGATCTCACAAGGTGGAACGGCGCAAACGAATATAATGAACATACATCGTTTTGGAACTGAAGAGAAAACGCGCACCGGAACAGAGATAGTGTTACTCTGTTTCGTGTTTATGCTAACCATCAACGTGCGAAAATAAACGCGCGTCCTATATAGTTCGTAACCCTTTTGGGTCACCGAACAACACACGTTTCGCTCGCTTTATTGCCGAAGTTTGCGTTCAAATATGCTTTTTTTTATTTAAGCAATAAATTTTTGTATTCACAATCAATAAATACTGGATAAAAAATTAGTTAAATATCGTCAAATTGTGAACGTGTCTTACTCTTTCGCCTGCATTTACTTCAAATAACGATTTATTCGAAATTCGCAAAAATCTCTCCACGCGTATTTTCTCTGATAATAAAAAAAAAAAAAAAACGCCAAAACTTACGGAAGAAAGGAATTCGGTTATGCGACAGATTAATGTATATACACAGTGAGGCTCAGTAATATGCGCGTTTATGTGACTACACGTTATGCAACCGCATCGCTCCAAAAGCACATCGGCCGACAATTGCCAAATTTGGCGATCAGTCTCTTCCAGTTGGTTAATTATAATACGCGAAGATGATAAAGACATCTTTATTTCGGTGAAAAAATAATAATACAGAAAGCCATATTTTCTGGTTGACGCAACTTTTCCCGCAGGCAAAAGCAAAATACTTTTGTAATCTTTTATTCCACAATTTTTCTTTTTTTAAAGAAAACTTTCTCAAAAGTTATATATCATAATATAAATATAGAAAAATAAAAATCTCATATTCTCTTGTTTAGAAAACTTACTTCTCTGTTTAAAAAACTATTTTAATAGAGTAAAACGTGTAAAACTTTTTTAAAACATTTTTGGAATAAGTGAAATTTGCAGTTGAAACGAGCGCGAACATTGAATCCGCGTGCGAACGGTATAAATTAATATAAAATCGAAGAATCCAAAAGACTTTAGAACACGTTCTTGTGTGTAACGACAATGTACACAAAAAACAATTTTTTAAACAGACAAAACATTAAACGGCATTTGAGCGCGAAGTTCTAGCGGCAATGGCGACAACGCGTAAATGTATCACAAAAATATACCGTTACGCTCCGATAATAATTACCGGCAGGTGTTTCGATGTAGCGAATAATTTTTCGACGTATAAAACTGTCTCGTGTCTCACATTAATCACAGTAATCATTCTTCGGACAGTTTGCGTCTTTGTACAAAATGTTGTACATGCGTTCGTATATAAACTGCGCGTCGAAGTCTCGCAAACGTTCTGTCGCCAAAAAAAATGCGGAGTCGCAACGAATCGATATATTTTCTCGTAACCGTAAATTTTGCACGAAAAACCCAGATAATACGACATCCAATTTAGCACTCTTGCATGATATTCTCGGTTATGATTATTACGTTATATCGTGTTATTGTACGCGAAAGTGAGTTTTTTGTCAATTTGGTTTGAATGTAAAAAAAAAAACGCAATACAGTGCGGAGAGTTAATATTTGAGCTTGAAAAATTGCCATTTTCGCGCACGACGTAAAATGACGTAATCAACGTAGTTTTCTATTCAAATAATGGCGTAATGGCCGAAACGAGCAATCAACACAGTCAATATAAATGTAACAAAAGAACGATTTCTCGGTGCGTCAATAAAAAAAAAAAATTTATTCATATAATTAAACTAATATATTCATATAATATATATTCATAAGATATATTCATATAATTAAACTAAAAATTGATTACTTTAGATGCTGAAGCGCGTTGTAAATTTATATTATAATCTTTTTGTAAAAAAATTATTTATTATCATTACGATGATCTAAGATGCTAGACTTGCTCAATAGAATGAAGTTAGTCGCGCGTGAAGAAAAATTAAGAATCGAACTAGGCGCGATCACGTGACTTTCTATCTCGAACTCACATCATCTTGAGGTTTGCAAAATTTTACACGATTTCTCTCTTCGACACGACAATAACTAATCTTTTTTTTTTTTCAAAATCTTTACGCCATTACACAATTTTATTATCGAAACAAACTTTGAAACGCAATTGTCATCGAAATGCAGATTTCATATGAGACTCACCCGATTTCAGCGTGGAGTCGCGACTGACGCGTGTCCTACGCGAATCTACACGTCGTTGATATGTATCATGGTCACATAAAAAAAAACACTTGTAAAACAGATATGTCGCGAAATAGACGGCTCGCGCTCTTGATGTAACGCGACTAGGGGACGGAATCGCGCGCCACACCGTTCGAACCAATGACGACGAGTGGTGAGCGCCGACTGCGCCACGCGCGCTCTCCGATCGTAATACGCGAGGCGACGAATACGGTAAGGTGGAGGGGAAACGCGGAACCACGGCCACCCTCGCCGTGGCCGCGACGGATCCAATGCTAACACGCGTCGCGATGCGCCGCGACGTCCTTACAATTCCGCGCAATGCTCAAACCGTACTGACGCGCCGCGCGCAACAACGACGGACGGAGGGGGCTTCCCCGCGCGTGCGCAAACGTTGCGGACTCGGTCTATTTTACATCAATTTGTATTTTTATTATTTGTGTAATGTTTGCACTCGTTCTAAAAATTTATATAGTGAAATAAATTAACAAAACTGTATACAATCAGCATTTGTAATATTAAATACATATTTGACATAATGTTTATACGTACATAGATGGAAAAATGAATGCGGAAATGGAGGGTAAAATGACATGTGTAGATCCGAAAAGTGGACGTGTGAAATTTCATATAATTATATTTGTGTTTCGATATATAAATATAATAAGCTTCGGAGAGCGGCAGTACATTAAATATTTATGCAAGTGCATTTATGATGATGATAATGATGATGATGATGATGATGATGATAATTATGATAATTATGATGATGATAATACGCATATTTGTCATTAAGAATCTCGCGAATAATTGGAATATATTAATTAAGTAGTAACTTTAGTGCCGTCAAGCATTGCACGAACGCCGAACTCTGATACAACTAATTGTACAATTGCATAATAAAATGTATACACAGACCTTGCTTGCTGTAATGTAAGCAAGAGAAAATTACATCCATCTTGATAAAAATCTATGGTAAATAAAACGTCGAATAATAAAAACCGAAATTTTAAATAAACTAAATGTGTGTAGATATACATGTATAATTAATTAACATTATCGTACGAATATATTGAAGTGTCGGAGGGCTGTCTGTCTGTGTACACAACGTTTGCGTGTCCTTACATCACAACATTATTGCGTAATTATATTGAAATAAATTAATCTGATATTTGTGTGTATATATATATATATGTGTGTGTGTGTGTATGTGAGTAAAACATTTAACAAACAGTTTCAAAAGTTATTGGAACTTTTTATTATTACTCATATTTGCATAGTATGTAATTTTAGGAGAATAAACCATACAATTGCTGCGTGTCGCAAAATACTAGTATATAAACACTGTTGCACGGTTTTGTTTTTTCTTTTTCTTTTTTTCTTTTCATTCTTGCAATCAAATCACAAACGAAGTTAACGAACGTCACACGTGTAGCTGACTCGTCACACAGTGAGAATGAAGTCGCGTGATATCGATATAAGACATGTCCATTGTGCGAATACCCACATCTATATAATACGCATGTGTGTGTAATATATAATAATAATATAGAATAATATATAATATAATATAATATATATATATAAATAGATTCAAAGGGAGACGCATCTTAATATTTGGCGCAAATCACGTTTTTAAAAACTTATGAACTACCGTAATAAATCGGCGTAAACTGACACATGCTTAATACGATATACACATTTATTTAAAGAATTAAAAATAACGGGACGGGAACAAGAAACGAACATATACGTTTATACATCATTTGTTTAAAAAATAAATTCGCAAGATCCGAGAAAGTCAGATGAACCTCGCGAATCAGAGAGAAATCGATCAAAATCATTAAATTAGCAAAACCGTACGAAACGAAACGAATGACGAGCGAATGAATCACAGCAACCGCATTATTT